ATTCTCTAGGAAAACACCCAAATCAAATATAGGAATATCGGCTCCTTTACCTTTTTTAGGGCTGTTCTTTGAAGCTATTTTCTTCTTCATTGAAAATCAAGCTAAGCGCAGACATTAATGGAGGTGATTTTTTGAAGAAGAGAGTAAAAATTTAGAATGTTTATGGAAGAAGAGAAGAAATAAGCATTAATGGAGGGATTTTGAGTTTTGTGAAGAGAAAATCGTGGGTGAGTGCAAGATACGTGGGGGAAGGGGGGTTGAGATGTGGAGAGAAAAACGTGGGTAGTGGAAGATACGTTAGAGTGATTTTAGGACACTAATTATTATCATTAATTCCCTTAAAATGTACATAAATGGTAATTGGGTATATAATATGTAACTATAATAAAACTAGTAGGGAGGGTAATATAGTTTCATATAGTGTATAGGAATGTAAAAATCTCATTATATTAAGGCCTTTAATGACACCCGAAGAATATTGTCACGATCCTAAATACCCCGATCATGATGGCGCCTATCACAGTACTAGGCAAGCCAAACCAACATTTACCACATCGAATTCCTTTAATAAAATCATTTTCTAAAAACCAATTAAGTTTCAAAGCTTTCATAAGAAAAATTAAAGATCAACAGAAATATGCGAAAAACAATATGAAATACACTAACACAGCCCAACAATCCGGTGTCACTAGTCATGATCCTCTACATACAACCAAAACACTGTCTAGATAGTACAATATGAGTCTGAAATACAAAACACTACGATAGGAAGGAGGAAGTCAGGGCTGCGAACGCCGTGCAGCTACCTTGCGATCCCCGGTGAAACTCTGAGAGTGCTGGAAGCTCTCACTCTGATGCTCGGGCACCTGGATCTGCACACAAGGTGCAGGGAATAACATGAGTACGCCAACTCAGTAAGTAACTAAAGTAAATAAGGTCCGAGTGCTGTGAAGAGCAATTTAAAACCATATAAGAGTTTTCGACAAAAATATCAAGTCAAAACCATCAGTGCCATGATCAGTTATCTCGTAAAATTTCAGTTTCAATTAAAATAATTTGAAATCATTTACTCAACATTTTTCAACAGAGGCTTAGTGTAAAAAGAAGAGTGGAAGCAACAAAAATATCATAAACGGGCCCCTCGGGCAAGGTATCACTCATAAGTATAGCCTCTCGGGCAAGCCTCTCAGTTACTCGTGACTCAGCTCTCATCAAACAGTACTCACACTCAGCACTCCGACTCAATAATATCTCATAATAATAATAATAATCATAATAACCGTTGCGGTGTGCAGCCCGATCCATATTTTATAGTCGACTACGCTCACTGGGAGTGTACAGACTTCGGAGGGGCTCCTACAACCCAAGCGTCATATCGTTGCGGCGCGCAGCCCAATCCAATATATATATCGATGCGGCGTGTAGCCCTTTCCATATAAGTATTGTTGCGGCGTGCAACTCGATTCATATATATATATATATAATCCTTACCATTAGGTCCTCAACCTCTCTCAGTCATTAACCTCACAACCACTCGAGCATATCAGTGGAAATCAGGGAGCTCAGCCCAAATATTTTTCATATATTAAGAAGTAGAGTGATGAAACCGGATTTAAATAATAGACAGGTAAAACATGACTGAGGATATGCTTTCAAAACAAATAGAGTGAGGAAAGTAGTAAAAATACCCCTAAGGGTCTAAATAGGTCGACACAAGGCCCTAAACATGGCGTACAACCAAAAATATAGTATCAACCTCTAAAATACGGGATATCATAAGATTTCAAATCAAATACGCGGCTTAATAGCCGCTACGAGACGGACCAAGTCACAAATCCCTACTGGTGCACGCCCACACGCTTGTCACCTAGCATGTGCGCCACCTCATTTATCAAAATAATACGAAATACCGGGGTTTCATACCCTCAGGTCCACATTTACAATGGTTACCTACCTCATACCAGATGAAATACTACTCTGCGACGCCCTTTCCTCTCGACTCGGCCTCAACTCGCGTCAAATCTATCCACAATCAGAATTATAACGTCAATATATGCTAAGGAAATGAAGCCCATGCGAAAATAATCAAATTATATAAAAAAAAACCCCGAAATTGGTCCAACCGACCCCAGGGCCCATGTCTCAAAATTTGATAAAAGTTACATCAATAAAATCCTTATCCTCCCACGAGTCCATACATACCAAGAACATCAAAATCGGACCATGAACGACCCCTCAAATCCTCATATCAAAGTCTCCAATCCCAAGCCCTAACTCCCCAATTTAAGCTTCAAATCCCACTAATTTCATGTTTAAACAAGTAAGAGTCAACATAGGATCGAGTTTTAGTTTCAATAATCTTACCTCAAAGAAGTTCTCTTGAATTCCCCCTTCAATCTCCCCCAAGAAGTTCCAAAACCGACTCAAAAATGGTGAACTATGGCCAAAAATCGCGAAAATTACCTTTTAAACATTCTGCCCAGCGATTTAAAATTTCTTTATCACGATCGCGAAAAATGCCTCGCGATCGCGAAGCACAAAACTGACTGCCCTAATTTTAACCCTACGCGATCGCATACAAACCCCACCCGACCGGCCGGGTCGTTACAAATATGGCATAAATTATCAAAAAGTACGAGCCTTTGATCAAATGCATAAACACAGTCCAGAAATACAGAAAAAAGATTCTTGAGACTTAATAGTTATTTTGGGAAACTTACAAAAATGTCCCAAATAAGTCCCAACTTACCAACCTCTAGCCATTAACCATAGACTTACCAAAACTAGTCAAACACATATAAAAATTGAAAACCCAAATAAATAAGGTTCTTTCTCTCCAAGAATCACACGCAAAAATCTCCTTCCATATTTTTAAGCGTGATTAGTAACATTAGATGCAAGGCAAAAAGTAAATTTCATGGACGAGGTAACAAATAAGGTGATGTAATGCAAAAAAAATATATATATACAATATTTCAAAAATCTAAGCAAAAAAGGACCTTTTTCAATGAGTATAGTTGAAATTCATAAAAATATTAAGTTAATATACAAAATTTGAGGAAGATTGGAGGTGATTTGGACTAATTTAGTATCAAAATTCGTAATTAAAATCGAGTTCAAAAAATTCTTCTTCTACACATGTATCACGCATTGTCTCACGTACAGGTATACATGGATATACATGTGATACACAATTGATACAATATGATACATATGTGATACACAAATGATACATAGTATGATACACATTATTTTTTTTTCATGTTCATCTTCTACTTCAAATTTTCAATTCAAAGCACATCAAAACTCCATCAAATCATCCCAAAATTGATATTCAAGCTCCTTAAGATGTACCCAATCTATTATAATAACACCTACTCAAAAGAAAGCAAAAAATTGACCTTTTTTTGGCTACAAATTACTAATTGGCTAATATTAATAATATTTTATGAATTGACCAATTTTTGTAATAAACTATTTATAAATAGACATAGCTGATAGTTTTCCTATTTTCTCCCCACATCCTAAATCAATTAAAGAAAAATTAACCTAGCAAAGAGTTGCATGTACGACTGATTCGGATATATTAGGCTTATCACCTTTTTCATTAAGTTGTATTAAAAGTGCCGTAAAAATTGCACGGCGCCCCCATTTAACCTATACCCATTTTTTCTTTAAAGTTTTAACTTGTACCCACTTTTTAAACAACTTCAGCTCCCTTTCTCCTCCTCCTTCGTCTTCTTCTTCTTCTTCTTCTTCTTCTTCTTCTTCTTCTTCTTCTTCTTCTTCTTCTTCTTCTTCTTCTTCTTCTTCTTCTTCTGTTGTTATTGGTGCTGCTATGAAACTTCAATTCATGGGGATGATTGTCATAAGTATGTTTATCAGATTATTTAAAAGCAAATTATAAATAACTTTCTAAATTAAGTACGTACATGTATGTAAATGTAAGTCCATTTCCTTTAATTCACATTCTATTTTTTTTTGAATTCAGCTTTATACATTATCAATGCATTTTAACCCGTTGTGCTAAATTATTTATCTAATTTTTATGTTACTAATTCTACTTATGATAAACTTATTATCTGTACAAAAAATCAATTACATGATAGCATAAAACATGCTGAAGTTCAGCAAATATAGAACAAAACTTCAGCTAAAACATGCTGAAGTTCAGCAAATAGAGAACAAAACTTCAGCTACTAGAATGCTTAAGTTCAGGAATTGCAAATAAAAATTTCAGCAAATAGAGAACAAAACTTCAGCTACTAGAATGCTTAACTTCAGCAATTACAAACAAAAACTTCAGCAAATAGAGAACAAAACCTCAGCTACTATGCTTAAGTTTAACAATTACAAACAAAAACTTCAGCAAATAGAGAACAAAACCTCAGCTACTATGCTTAAGTTTAACAATTACAAACAAAAACTTTAGCACACTTGGTTCATCAATTTTTGTTACTTCAGACCCGTCTACTAGAATGATGAAGTTTGCATGATTGTCTTTGTTACTTCAGACCCGTATGCTGAAGTTACGCGAAAAAATGGGTACACTTACAATTTTTTTGCAAAGCAGGCACTAGCTAAAACGTGAACCCAAAAACGGGTATAGATGCAAATGCCCGAACGCCCCATACTCTAGTATCTTTCCAAGGATACATTCATACAGTCATATTTTTTCAATGAACTCTTTTTCTCGCATACTTTATAGGCGAATGTGTAGACATTGCAGACCAGTTTGTGCTTTCTACGGCAAACAAAATGGGACTTCCCATTTTTCCATTTTTGCTTTGGACTGAAAACGAAAAAGAATCTTCTTTTTTCTAAAAAATAAATAAATTGATGACTAATAAAATGAACAAGCAAATCACTTTCTACTTCATACAGTAAGGAAAACAGAACTTCCTATCCACTTATATATTTCTGACTGAACAGAAAAGAGAACCTCTGTTTTAAATAAGTTGATGACAAACCAGAAGAAACAAGTATACTTGCAAGAAAAATGGAACTTAAGAATATTTTTTGGTCTTTTGATTTAAAACAGAAAAAGTACCTTTTCCAATTCTAAGCTCTAAAATAGATCACCAATGCCTAGAGAAAACTACTACCCATTGTATTTAACATCAAATTTTATCTCAAAATTTTCCTCTAGCTTAATACACGCTGGTTATATCTCTCTTTGCATAACAAAAACTCTCAAAAGATGTATGCACTCATCCTCTAACTTAGGCTGTATTCTGCTCTTCTGACTTGTACTGTATATATTTCGTCAGTCCCCTTGTGATCTATTAGTTCAAAAACTGGGTGAGACATCAAAAGCTTGTCATTCACGGGGAAAAGGCTCTGTCGCTTGTTCACGATGCATTCAGGGATGGAGCTGCCCACAACTTTACTTTCTTATCGACACTGGCTGTGGCCAACACCAGAACTTGCTTGTCACCTGATACATAGTTACAACAACAAAAACAGAAACAACTTAATATTGTTGGACCGTTTGGGGAAAGCAATTGCTGCCATCAGAAACCCTAGCTAAAAGCACCCCATGAATTAAAGCCCTGATGGTTATTAAGCTACAATTTTTTCAACATAAGTTTAATGGTAGCTTCCTCCTAAACCAGTTGGTCCTACTTTTTAATTTTCATTTTCACTCCAGTTTTTCATACTTTTCTCCAGCATAACTATAAGACAGAAACTGAGTCTCATATCTGTACTTGCTAGAATATATAGGAAGAAAATGGAAGATTCAGAGAAGCCACTAAAACTAAGAGGAAGACACATTGAAAGCAAGATTCTAGCGAAAAGAGACCAGCTATTGTTTTACTTAGTGACAAAAGACTTAGAAAGATAAAAGGAAAAAAAGGAAAAAAGCTGATCCACTTTATGACCTAATGTAGACAAGAAATGGAAAAGAGAGAATCACATAATATAAATCTTCTATTTGATAAGGTAAGATCACATAAAATAGAACTTCACTTGGGATTGGGGAGAGATATACCCATTGGAATTTGAGAAGGCGACCATGCCATGTCAGTGATATCACCTGCACAATAAGTGGAAGAATATAAATTTCCAAATCAAGTTAACACAAGTTGATAGCATGGCTGGCATGACTGGGCTACCAGCCACCTTAGATCACCACGATAGTTCAACTTTCCCCTCATTACCTATTAACCTAAGACATCCCCTCTCCATCTCCTATTGACCTAAGACATCATATTGCTTCATACAGAAATCCTACAATGCAAGAAACTATGTAAATGAAGCAGATGTTCTAAGACAAAACTCATGAAACAAACAAGAATAGTAAGCCCAATGGTTCTAACGCAGTGCCTCACAGCACCCTAGGAAAAATGATTCTAACTTAAAAGTATTCATGACTCCTGCGCAAATGCGCAAACCGAAAAAAGAAACACTCATGAGGAATAGACGAGCTATCATAACAATATAGAGCTCAACAGACTGAAAGCTAAGAACTCGCATTATGTGTCACTGAGATTCTAGCTAACACTAAATAAAACTTCGTTGTTCTTTCGATGGGGCGGGGCTGAGAGGATCGAACTTGGAAAATGTTTTTGAAGGATGTATTCCATTCAGGTTCATGTTGTCTAATAGGGAAAAATCAAGAAATTGAACTTTTGCCAAGAACTATAGCTGCTTCAGAATACAGGAAAAAAAAATTCTAGACAGGTTCAACACATACATAGGGATGACAATGGTGGACAGCTTTTGATAAAGGGGCTAAGTAATTTGGAAAGCATACCATCATGTGCCTTTTCAGCTGTGTCCAAAACCTTCCCAGTCTCCGGACATAGCCATTGCATCATTGAACCATGAGTGGTGGCCAATATCTTTCCATCAGGTGATAGACATAAACGATCGTAGTGTAAAGTTGTGCCATTTGCATCCTTAAGGGGAATAGGGAGCACCCTTAATGTCTTGGGGTCCTCGGAAAGATGATAGCGCACTGCAAAAGAATAATGTTGCAGGCAAGTGCCAAAGGAAAATAATTGGACGAGGTAACAATGGTACAGTAACTACTAAGAGCTAGGGAGGGAAAGACATACCATTAATATTCCACACTCTGATGCTACCATCCTTCGATGCAGTAATTATTTGTTCAGAATTCGGGGTAAAGCATAGGCACGTCACGGCACTCTGCACAGAACCCATTAAAATTTTAGACATCAAGCAACAAATTAGCAGCAAATCAAAAAAGAAAGAGATCAATAGCAAAAGTTTATCAAACTAAATGACAGAGTCAGTCGAGAGAACACTGTACACCTATAATAAGAGCAAGATTTCATCCATTAGCTGAATCATGAACATAATGGAAAAGAGATAATCAACAACAAAGTATTTGAAGCTTGAAAAGTCTTTGCTGAAACAGCATATTTCAATTGTTACTCCCTTCAGATTTTTCTAAAATTTCTCCTTTCCCTAAAATATTACTCCAATAATATTTTTCCCCCAAAGTACAAATTAGCACAATGATAAGCCTGTTCACATCTTGTTCACACTAGAACCATCATCAGATACAACTGAATGCAGATCACATTGATCTAACCCTAGAGAAAGATAGAAAAAGAGAAGATGTAAATAGACTTTCATGGCGCAAGAACTTGATATCATGTACCTTATGCCCCTTGAGCTCCATTACCCTTGAAACCTCCTTTACAGCACCATCTTTTGAATACACAATTTCCCAAACCTGTCAACATGATACATAATTCAATCAGGAACTCTTCTTTGATGACATCCAAAAAGCGAGAGAAAATTATGAAAAAATCATTTCCAAGTTGACAAAGGAGCATGACATAAATTGCATCAGGAACTCTTCTTTGATGGCATCCAAAAAGCGAGAGAGAAAATTATGAAAAAATCATTTCCAAGTTGACAAAGGAGCATGACATAAATTGCATCAGGAACTCTTCTTTGATGGCATCCAAAAAGCGAGAGAGAAAATTATGAAAAAATCATTTCCAAGTTGACAAAGGAGCATGACATAAATTGCATAAAAAGAGCATGACATAAATTGCATAAAACTTAAAAGGTCCCAAAACCACACCACATGATATGCAAGCTTTATCAGAATATTTAATCCCCACCCTAAATTTATACAACCTACTTTTCCCTTATAGCTTATTCCAATTTACTTGACTCCCTTGGAAAATGACAAATATCTACAGCCTCCCAGAGTGAAAAATAATACTTAAACAATCTCAATCTCCAACTTTTTCCGGAAGGATTGGAAAGCGTTCAGCTATTCACACAGATTACATAGGAAAATATATTTTTTGGATTCCCCACTGTCTGCCTGTCTGTCTGTCTCTCTTCAATTTACGTAGGCAAACCATACTATTTGGATCCTCCTCCGTGGATGGATGGTGGGTCTACATGGTTCTGAAAGGTGTTCTACACACCATTTAATCATCTTTATCCAAACTTTGGTGCAGCTGCATTTGAGATGACTAGAACCAACTGATGAGCAGTGTCCTAATTTCTTGGATAGATCCACATACGTCCTTTGTTATAACTGGCCTTCCAACAACCACATTGACAAAATCATACATAACAGCCCGACTCACATGCCACACTGCCTGACGCTTGATACAAAACACAATAGGGCAACTGAAAAGAGTGAATCTGTGGAAGTCAACCTTTGTACGTCTCAGGAAACCGCTGGGGGGAAATTTAGCACAGGATATTAGCTTCCACTCTTTGTTTCTCCTATCTACCCTCCCACCCCCTAAACCACTCAAATAATTTTGAACAGAAAAAAGACACTTGAGTTTCTCATCTTCCAATAACTCTTACAACTAACTAGTTTCATAACATTATTTTCCTACTACTTAAACAACATTGAAATTTGACAATAAATGTAAACTCCTGACAAAAGCTTAAAGCAGTTCAGCCTCACAAATGATAAGATTGCAACATCTAACTTCACCTTGACATCAGCAGTAAAAGCTGCAGCAGCTATAAAACGCCCATTGGGAGATATAGCAGCCATATTATTTTTGAGTTGATTAGTGTCAACACTCCCAACAATCTTGCCACTTTTTCCGTGAAAAAGCACAATATCAGTACCTAAAACACCAACAAATACAAAAGCATAGCATTTCAATCATCATTTTGCTCTATGAAAGAAATAGGTTCTTCCACACAAACAAAAAAACAGGAAAGGAAAATTCTGATTGTTAGGATGTTCGTGGATATGAGGATCACAGAAGCAAAATTAGCAACCAGAAAAGAAGAACTACGACACAAAGAGTTATGGAATTCAAGCATTATGAACGAGCTGGTCACACGTCTATGGTCATATCACTAATATCTATCAGAACTCAAACTTAGTATCCACAGTCTAAAGGATTCTTGGAACATCACAACCACATAAAGGTTTAGGGTACACCTTTATGTCATTTCAAATCTATCCACTTTCTTCCAAAAGAATTATAATGTGATTGTGGGATCAGATTGGAATTTTTTTTCCAACAACACCAATTAAAAGCATTGCTTGAAGCAAGATCATTTTTTTAAAACCAAAATTCACAATGAAATCTTAATTAAAGCGATAGAATTTTAAAAGATTTTGCACCATACTATCTTTATCTTAGATTTTGGCAGTTGAATTTACAACAGAAATTTCTCCAAACAAGTCTCTAAGTTACTATGATGATTCGTCCAACAAATACAACAACAAGCAACAGAAGTTTTTATTTCCAGAGCCCAGAGAGAACCAGAAGGGGGAAAAACATGACAAACATCCAAGCCTAAGGTAGTGTTATCAAACTTTATAATTTGGACTAGGTGAAGCACTTTCAACCCAGTTCTATGATCCTCATTTGATCCTACGATCCAGTCAAAACTTAGGATGGTAGGCTGAAACTTGATTTTATGTTTTCTTTTTCCAGATTCATTTTATCCTTGTCTAATAATTTCACATGTAATATATCAACTCATTCATAAAGTAAGTGGTACTATTATATAGTTTGAAGTTGAGGAAACTTTAGCACTTGCAACGAACTGTGTGCGCACATGTGCAAGAAAAATAAATAGTATTGATTTTTCATTCTTATCTGAATTTTACTTCTGAGACTTTGTAACAAGGGAACAAAGTAATTATCAGCACAATGGTAGAGTGTGATTTTTCTTCTCTTCACAGAAACGCACACAGAGCACACCACCGAGGAAAATGCCGGCCGGACATGGATTAAGGTCTTGGACGAGGGATTCAATCTATCGCGCCTTCAGAAAGAAGGGAGTAATCCCTCTTTCCACCTACCTCAGGATCTTCAAAGTCGGTGACTATGTTGATGTCAAAGTGAACGGCGCCGTTCACAAGGGCATGATGTCACCAAGCGTGCTGTTGGTGTCGAAATCAACAAACAGGTTCATAATAAAATCCTCCGAAAGAGGATCCATGTGAGGATTGAGCAGGTTCAACTTTCCCAGTGCTCCGAAGAAGTCAAGGAAAGAATCAAAAAGAACGATCAGCTAAAGGCCAAGGCTAAGGCTATGGGTGAGGTCATCAGCACAAAGAGGCAACCTCAAGGACCCAAACCAGGGTTCATGGTTGAAGGTGCTACTTTGGAAATTGTTCTCTCCCATACCATATGATGTGGTCAAAAATTTGAAGGGAGGCTATTGATTTTACTTTGTTTCTGAGCTTGTTTTTTTCTTCATGTGCTGCTATGCAGTTGAAACTACTAGTTCTTCCCAGCGTCAGTTGTAAAACTCGCATTTTAGTTCCAAATTTTGTTTGCAATGTTAGTAGTTATGGTGGTGAAGAATATCTATTTACTACCTAATTTTTTATGTTGAGTTTGCCAATATTTTTGTTGTTTCAACATTAATTTTCTTCCACACGAGCACTTCATCTGCTAAGTTAATTACCATTTTGTTGTTTACCATTTTCCGGTTGCTATGGGGTTGCACCAAGAATCTGCACTCATCCGTTATTTTTGCGCTGGTGATGGATGCTCTGACACACCATATTCAAGGGGAGGTGCCATGGTGCATGTTATTTTTCTGATTGATGAGACACGAGGCAGCGTTAACGAGAGGCTGGAGGTTTGGAGACAGGCCCTTGAGTCTAAGGGTTTCAAGTTGAGCAGGACGAAGACAGAATACCTGGAGTGCAAGTTCAGCGCCGGGTCGAAGGAAGAGGGCATGGACGTGAGGCTTGGATCTCAAGTCATCCCCAAGAGAGAGTTTCAAGTACCTTGGGTCGGTTATACAGGGGGATGAGGAGATCAACGAGGATGTCGCACACCGTATAGGGGTGGGGTAGATGAAATGGAGGTTAGCATCTGGCGTCCTGTGTGACAAGAAAGTGCCATTGATGCTCAAAGGTAAGTTTAGACCAGCCATGTTGTATGGGGTAGAGTGTTGGCCAGTTAAGAACTCACAGATCCAGAAGATGAAAATAGCAGAAATGAGGATGTTAAAGTGGATGTCCGGGCACACTAGGATGGATAAGATTAGGAATGAAGATATTCGGGAGAAGGTGCGCGTTGCTCCTATGGGTGACAAGATGCGGGAAGTGAGGCTCAGATGGTTCGGGCACGTGCGGAGGAGAAGCCCAGAAGCCCCAGTAAGGAGGTGTGAGCGGTTGGCGTTGGCTGGTACGAGAAGAGGTAGAAGGCGACCTAAGAAGTATTGGGGAGAGGTGATCAGGCAGGACATGGCGTGACTTCAGATTTCCGAGGACATGGCCCTTGATAGGAAGGTGTGGAGATCGAGCATTAGGGTTGTAGGTTAGGAGGTAGTTGATCATATTTCTACTTCCTTCTGGGTGAGAGACTAGCCCGATAGGGTTTTGGCTTAGACTGCTAGTGGTTAATGTTGTGTCCATACTATTTCATAATACCGGGCCTTATTTACTTGTTATTGTTATTGTTTTTCATCTATTTTCTGGTCCTTATGTTGTTGTTACTATTTTTATGATTTCTATTGATGGTACTCATTTATTGTCTTTGTTCGTCTTCTTGAGTCGAGGGTCTTTCGGAAACAACCTCTCTACTCCTCGAGGTAGGGGCAAGGTCTGCGTACTCACTACCCTCCCCAGACCCCACTTATCGGATCACACTGGGTTGTTGTTGTTGACACAATAAGAAGAAATTTATACTGTCAGATGAAAAAAAAATAAAAATAAAAAAAAGACCACCGAGTTCTGGCGTGGAAAGACTTTTGGTGCAGGACTGCAAGTGCTTTTTGGCATTGTAACATTTTCGATCATGATATTGTAGTTAAGGACAATAAGTTAGAGAAGTAGATAATTAACACTTCCAGTAATTAATGATTTCGTGTCTATACCAATACACCCAATTACGAGATAATGCACACAAAATGTTGACATATCAGATATAATGTTCCATGACTTTTTACCTGATTCTCAATGATCTCCTACAATGCCAAGAGGCAGTAAGAATTAAGCATGGCTATTAGAAGAAAATGAATGGAATGTCGGGATTAGAAGGAATTGCTTCAACTGGGAACTTACGAACTTCTTTTGAAGTTGGGACAGTCAAACAACTTAATGGAACTCCTGTCAAGACTCGTATGGACTGCAACTAGCAATGAAAAATTCACTATGAATCATGCTATAAGTCCATGGCCCAAGCAAAGTAGCTTGCTTCAGCTGGGTTTTGTTGCATGATGTCTGTTTAACGCAGAGAAATCTTCAGAGAAAGGGCTTTCATATGTGCAATAGGTAATATTTGTGTGGGTTTAATAATGAAGAAACTGACTGTTTAATTTTGCATTGCATAGTACTAGGCAGACATGTTTTTTAAGATATTTGGTTTGAGGTGGGTCATGCAAAAAACCCTAAAAGTATTGTATTGCTTCTGCAATGAAAGGAAAACTACAAAGCAGCTGACTAAATCTGGATGACAGTTCCAGCATGCATAGTGGGTAGTTTGAACTGAAAGAAATCAAAGATGATTCGAAGAAAAGACTACGGCAATTCAGTATTTAAACTTCACATGCCTTAGTTTATTAGGACAATCGTGTAAGTCTATTGTTGTAAATTGTGAGGACAGTATGTTAGAATTAACTGAAATGTTCGAAAACAGGCCACTGTAAAGGATGGAAAATCTTTGTTAATCCAGCACAAACTTAGTGTTGGTCTTTCGCTGCCTCAATAATACTTTACGTACTGATAAAAATTAAGCATGATAGTCAGGCCAATCACCACTAGCTACAGTATGAAATTGAATAAACCTAAAACTCTGTTATAGAATTCAAAAATCAATATGATACATGACAGCATTCTCATAATCATGCATTCTCCAGCAACAAATATGAAACCATGGAGCTTTTACTATAATTAAGAATCAGGATAGCCATTGAGTTTTAACTCGAGTTTACCTTCAGAACATGAAACAATGATTGTGCTCCCATCAGCACTACCATAAGTTGCTTTGGTACCAACTAGAGTTAGGATCGCTCTCTTGTCGTGAACTTTATGCTGTTCCCATTTGATTTCTGGAAGAGGAAGCTTGGCCTGTTTGGAATCAGTGGCTGCTGTTTTCTCTTCACCATACATGTACAGGGAAGAACCAGAAAAAGCATCGCATGCCACTACAACTGAGGAAGCTTCATCAGCAAATGCAACTGCAGTTGGATGACCTCCAGCAGGCAAATTAATTCTCAGAAACCTGAATAAGATACACCACAGATTAGAGTTAGAAATTTGCACTTAGATTCACACTTAACAATACTAAAGCTTTTACTCGAAGCTTAATAATAACCAAATTACTGTCCTAATAATAATAAGACTGTAAAAATCATACTTAAAGCTTTTGCTCGAAGCATCATCCAACTTGAAGACCCTAACAACCCCGTCACCACAAGCTGCAAGTGGAAACCATTAGTATGGAAGATTGACATCTATCTCCCCCATCCTCCTTCCAAAATATATAAATGGAATGTGAACAACAAGTGATGGAAGATATGCAGAATGTGATTATGTCCTACAATTTAACGCATGTTTTCTTTCATTAAAGAAATTTGTGGATGAAAAATATATTTTGTTAGGGGAAACGGTCTAGACTTGCCCTTGTACTTTGTGAAAAGGTCTAACTTTTCCCTCCGTTAGAAGCTCCACTCATCCATGTCCTCACCATTACAACTTTTTATCTACAGCAGGTAAAGCTCTTTGGAGCGGTACAAAGCTTGCAACTAAATGCTACATCTAGCTTTGACCCAACACGCATTTATATCATACAACTTTTCAGTGATTGTATCAATTGCTTAAAGTTCTCTGGTCATACTTTAATACCTTAACTCTTTTGGAACTTGAATTCTTTCTGCACTGCGTTGTAATACAGTCTTCTTGTGACAAATCGTTTTCCTTATAAAAGAAACTCAATTCATAGCTTCAAGAGGGGGATGTGACACAAAAGAAGAGAATAAAGCAAGACCCCCTCGTGCTAGCTTTAACCTACAATTTTCGGCAAATGGCACCAAGTGTGGAAACAGTAACGCAACCAAAGTGATTTTGACATGAATTATATCTTTCTCACTTTCAAGCACAACTCATTTCCAAGCAACAGCGGTGTGACGGTGTCGTATAAGGTTTTTCCAACAATCATCCTAGTACAATAGCTTTCTTTAGATAACTTTAAATAGAAATGAATGTTTTTATAATCTCACAATTTTTCTAACCATGCACAACATGCTCACGGGACACATATCAGTTCTTCTAGTCTCATCCACATCCACGATGAGGTCTGATTGGTGCAAGCATAATTCTACCATGTGGGTTAGACCAAATTCAACAACGATATAAAAACCCAACATGATAAGTAGGTTGCTCTAAGTAATCTTTAGGGCTTGATTCTCAAAAATTGGAAGGAAAAAAAAAAAGATTGAGCACTATTTGATTAGCATATCAAAGATTGGAAAGTGTGTCCTACAAGGCCTGTCCTTTTGAAAAGGGATCCATCAAGACATTTAATCCTGCAAAAAAGAGAATTTCTCAAAAGAAAATGAAAAGAAAAAAGCTGGTTCCAACATGCATATCTCGACAGATTGACTGTGGCCACAAACAGGCAAATGGAGAGTTGTGCATCTTAGTAGAAGTACAGCGATCATACAACTTGCTTTGTGAGGCTTAGAGCTCAAACAAACAAATACGTAAACCAAAATTACCAGTTGCCAAAGACTGTGCATTGGGTGAGAAGCAAACTCCAGTGACAATATCCCCATGACCTTTTAGAGTATTCAAGTCCAGTGGGTGATGCCTTTTATTTGCATCCTGCAGAGCACAACCAGTACCAAAAATTACTTTCAGTTGACTGGTCATTGAATACACAGCTCAAGGTCATATCTGTAATGAAATCTAGAAACACATTAACTTGGCTAGTTTGTTGAAATATATTTGGATGAGAAACGAAAGTTGAGTTATTTATTCAACTTGGCTGGTCCGTTGAAATATATTTGGATGAGTAACGAAAGTGAGATATTTATTCAAAGTGTTGAAAAGAAGTGACCTATCACAGCAAAGTGAAGCTGTAGAAGGCAAAAACAGAATGTAGCAAAGTGAAGCTATAAAAGGAAGCTAACTCAAATTTACCATACAACGATTGGGGTCTCCAACTCTAATGAATCTAACCTATATAATGTGCAATGGTTCCTTTGCAGGGAGATGAAACAATATCCAAGAGAATGCCATGACAGCTTTGACTTTTTGGTTAACACATCACAGTAAGCTTCCTATTGCAGTATTCACAAAATTACGAGCTCGCCGAGGACTGTAGGTTTGGCTTTTAGTTACTCATTGGACGGACATCATATTCCTAAAACTGTTATTAGGAATTTGCCAATCTCAGGGGCCGAGATAGAGAGTCAACTATGGGTTCGGCCAAACTCAATTCCAAACCTTGTTATCTTGAAAGTCCGTTGAATATGTACAAATTATTAATTTAGTACCCATTAACTTAAAAGAATTATAATCTCAAACCCATAAGCTTCAAATCCGGGTTCCATATCTGATCTCTAACTAGGCTTTGATAAGCTAAGTTTTTTATGCTTTTTCCCCAGCGAAATGCCCCTAATTGATCTTTGCGGATATCCAGCAATAAAACCTTCAACTACTCATAAGAAGTTAAGACTTTATCAAATCCATACGAGATACAACATCTTTGTACTTCTTGGCTGCTACTAGTCCAGCGCTGTCTTAGTGCTAGGGAAGTTACTTGAATATAAGTTTGTTACTTATCCAGGAAAAAAAACTACTCAGAAAAGGTCTGGTAAGTTTCACATCAATCATATGGTTACATTTCATGGCTTGTATCATTTATATCATTTCACAACAATAAATATTTTAAATAATTTAGTAATAAAGAACATCAACGAACCCTAGAGCCGGGAAAAAAAGAGAGAACTTTTGTGTGTGTATATATAGTAAATGTAAGGGATCATTCATACCTTATGATCGGCGGTGTGAGAATGAGATTTGGCTTGCGATTTCTTCAAAGTGTTCTTCTGAGATTGCTGAGGCTTCGAAGCCTTCTGAATTGTCTCCGGCTGGGCGATAGATTCAACCTCCGATTTCCTCTTCTGGAAATAGTTTCCGAACACTAGAAAAGCAATCACGGTTCCGATAATCACCGATACAATCGCAATCGGAAGCATTGAATCCATTGTTGAATCCTGTGAATCTCGAAAATGGAGTTCTTAGACCGAAATTTTCAAGCCAAGTGTTATCAATTCAGTACGAAGCTGCTGCTCGATGCACGTTGAGTGTGTGTACATTCGCTTTATATATTCCTCTCAGCGTATTTTATAAAATTATATATGGATTGGTTTTCTTTTGCTTTTTTCTTTTTTTGAGGAAAATGATCTCGAGTGAGCTTTGCTGTTTATGATTTGAAAGATATACTTCTATTAGCATTTTGGTCTTGGTTTTCAAACTTGTATTAGTGATTGAATGTAAAAGTATTTGGATTATTAATTAAAATAAGCTTTTGTTCGTAGTTAATTTCCTTAAAGAAAACGTTTAAAACTCCAAATACATATTGTATGGGTACAAATTTGACCGACCTCAACCTATGATGAGTACGACAAACGACCAAGTACCTTCGAATCAGTGTGCCGAGGGAGACGACCTTAAGGCGAAAATCAGCGTCCCGAGGGAGACGACCTTAAGGCGAAAGAAGAAATTGTACGACCCTTGTAGGAGTATAAGCCCATTAGGGGACATTAAGAATATTCCGTCGAATATTCCTTATATTTTATTTCTTATAATTTAGAAGGTTTTCTCGCTAGTATATAAGGGGGAAAAGGGACCCTGTAAAGAGGGGAGGATTATGAAAAACTTATCAATCTTAAACAAAAAGAAAACTTTGCAACTCTCTTCTCTTTACTTATTACCATTCTAGAGATTACTATATTCAGCTACGATTTACCCCTTCATCTTTGATTGATTTGTTCAAAAAAAGTTCTAACATCTTTTTGAGTCAAACAATTTGGCGCCGCCTGTGGAGATTTCTATAGCTGAAACCATAATTCTCATCTAGATTCTCGAAAGTGATAATTATTTTTCCTCAAGCTTCGTATAAACCAACAATGGCGGGAAAGAAAGCGAGGCTAAAGGCGGTAGCAGATCTCTCGAATAATCTCCTGAACTCCCTCGACGAAGCCGACAGAGAAGACATTGAAAATGCAACACCAAGCGCTACGCTGGAGGGAGATATCTCACCTCTTCCACACGGGAATCTAACGATCTTACACGAAAAGGAAACCTCAACATCCACGGCGGGGGAAGCCCCACCAGCAGTCAAGAGGCTACTAGAAGAATGGTTAACGAGTGCTTTGAGCAACATGCTCAAGAAATCCTTCCAAGGAGACGTCGAAGACGTGCCACCTACAGAAATTGCGGCTCCCGCCGATGAGCCAAGCGCTACACGAACAGGTAACACCCGCACTATTACTAATGCAGGTGACGATGCATCCATGGCCATCTTGAAGAAAATGGAAGAGATGGAAAATGAGAACAAAACACTCCGCGACCAAATGAAGGAACATCAGGAGAGGGTTGACAAAATACCGGGCGCTCCGAAGCTATTACCAAAACGCGATGTGGGTCGATTCGTCAAACAACCATACAACGAAGGGGCTGCTCCTCATCCTATTCCAAAGACCTTCAGGATGCCGCCATACTTGAAAATATATGACGGGACCACGGACCCGTAGGATCACCTAATCCATTATGTTACTGCAGTAAAGGGCAATGATCTGTCAAAGGAACTGGTACCGTCTGTGCTGTTAAAAAAGTTCGGCGAAACTTTGACAGGGGGAGCATTGACATGGTACTCCCATCTACCGGTGCGATCGATATCGACGTTCGAAGAGATAGCGGATAAGTTCGCCACCACCCATGCAGGAGCGAAGAAGGCCGAGGCTAGGGTCAATGACATCTTCGCCTTCAGGCAAATGATGAGTGAGGGACTTCGGGATTTCCTGGCCCGATTCAACAGAGTAAGGATGAGTCTACAAAAATGTGTCAAAAGGGATGGCAGTAGCAGCCTTTCAAAATGGGTTAAACAGGAACGGATCAAAGGCGACCAAAAAGCTACTCAGTAGACTCATGAAGTACCCCCTACCACATGGGAAGAAATCCACAACGCCTATTGCACCGAGGTAAGGGCAGGCGAGGATGACCTGAATGGGCCGCTTCAGCGATTGACATCAGTCCAGACCGAGACAAGGAGAGATCGATATAACGATGGGCGAAGAGATCAACCACCACCTTTCAATCGAGAAAGGCATCAGCCCTATATCCGCACATCTAACCCGCCCCCTCCACGACACGCAGACATCGTGCCGCGACACACTTCACCCTTTCGAAATGAAAGAGGTATGCCTCCACTACTATCTGCTCATAATTTTTGTGTTTCAACTTCAGAAATAGAGTACGCACTGGAGAAACTAGACACGAAGGTGCAGTGGCCGCAAAAGATGAAATCAGATTCGAGCACTAGAAGGTCAAACGTCCTCTGTGAATTCCACCAAGAAAGAGGACACAAGACCGAAGACTGCATAGGTCTACGGCAAGAAGTAGTTAGATGTTGAACCAGGGGTACCTGAAAGAACTGCTAAGAGATAAAGGAAGGGCCAACTTCGCTCGAGGGCTTGACCCATCTCAAGGACCTCCAAATCCACCATCACCAGCGCGTACCATACAAATGATTATTGGCGGCAGCGATGATACGGTAATCAACCATGTGAAGTTTACCACCACGCACAAACTCAAACGGACAGTCGCCCACGAACGGTATGATGACCTCGAAAATAGTATCATCTTTGATAAGTCAGATATCGATGGTTTGTCTTTCCCTCACTATGATGCTTTGGTTATAACTTTATGCATCGCTGACACTGATGTAAAAAGAATTATGGTGGATGACGGAAGCTGTGCATGTATTGTTCACCCGCGAGTTCTCATGCAAATGAGGCTCGAGGATAAAATAATATCGTGTTGCATAACACTAACGGGTTTTAATAATGCAGTAGAGCGGACATCCAGAGAAATAGTGCTACCTATCCTAGCAGGAGGGGTTAACCTGGAAATAACATTCCACGTCATGAACCAGGAAACGACCTACAACGCTATCATAGGGCGACTATGGATACACGTCCATGCGAGCCGTCCCCTCAAGCCTCTATCAAGTAATCAAATTTCCCATCCCATTGGGGATATTCAGCATATGAGGCGAGCCGCGCACCGCCCAAGAATGCTACCGGATCGCCCAAGATTGCACACACACCAAGCAGCTAAAAGGGGAAAATGCGGAAGCATAGCAGTCAGCCATGCCGGGCGCCAAACCTGACATACAAGTAGAGGCCATAAAAGATCCTCACATTGTAGAAGCTTGCAAAGCAACCGTAGAAGATTTTGATCCCGTCCAGTTAGATAACACCGACTGCACCAAAAAGGCTTATGTTGGACATAACCTCTCGGAGCTAGGTGAGTATCGTGAGTTTTTAGCTAACAACGTCGATTTGTTTGCTTTTCCCCACTCAGATATGCCAGGAATCCCAAGAGAGATCGCCACGCACAAACTGAATGTCGACCCACTTTATCCATCGATATGACAAATAAGGAGGAAGTTCAATACCATAATCAATGAGGTAGTCAGCGAGGAAGTTGATAAATAACTCGCCAACGGTTCCATCAGAGAATCGAAATACCCCTAATGGGTAGCCAATGTGGTCATGGTCAAGAAGAAGAACGGGAAGTGGCGATTGTGTGTCGACTTCACCGATTTAAACAAAGCATGCCCGAATGATCTTTCCCGTTACCCCACATTGACCAACTTATCGATGCAACAGCGGGACATGAACTATTGAGCTTCTTGGACGCATACTCCGACTATAACCAAATTCTAATGGCTGAAGAAGATCAAGAAAAGACCACTTTCATCACTCACCAAGGTACATACTGCTATTAGGTGATGCCATTCGGGCTGAAGAATGCAGGGGCCACGTATCAAAGGTTAGTCACCAAAATGTTCAAAGAATAACTTGGTAAGACAATGGAGGTTTACATCGACGTCATGCTAGTGAAGTCGGCAAAGAAAGAAGATTACATTTGTCATCTGAAGGAAGTCTTCAAAATATTAAGGCAGTACGGAATGAAACTGAATCCCGAAAAGTGCGCCTTCGGCGTGACCTCGAGAAAGTTCCTCGATTTCCTAGTATCATAAAGGGAAATCGAAGTCAACCCTGACCAAATCAAGGCCATCGATGCAATACCGAAAATACTAACCAGCAAAAAGCAGGTGCACAAATTAACAGGACGAATAGCCGCCGTATCAAGATTCATTTCACGATCCTCGGATAGATGCCATAAATTCTTCAATGTACTAAGGAAGGATCACGGGCTGCAATGGAATGATGAATGTATTGATGCCCTAAGAAAGCTGAAAACATATCTATCCTCGCCACCACTACTCGTCAAAGCGGACCCAGGTGAATGCCTACTTATGTATCTAGCAGTTTCCGAAGTTGCGGTAAGTACGGTTTTGGTCCGTAAAAATAAAGGTACGCAATCTCCGATTTACTATATCAGCAAAACTTTAATCGATGCCGAGACGAGGTACCCTCACCTTGAAAAACTAGCTCTGGCACTAGTTATAGCTTCACGGAAACATAGACCGTACTTCCAATGTCACCCCATAAAAGTGGTGACAACCTTCCCTCTAAGGGGTATCCTACACAAACCCGAACTATTGGGTAGACTAGCTAAGTGGGCCATAGAACTAAGCGATCACGACATAACGTACCAACCGCAAACTGCCATCAAGTCGCAAGTGCTCGCAGACTTCGTCGCTGATTTCAGCACGGAAATATTACCCGAGGTAGAACAGGAAGCACTCCGCACTTCTACGCATACCGACCTCTGGGTCCTCTACACCGATGGTGCCTCTAATGTCTCAGGATCGGGACTGGGACTCGTCCTAGAGGTCCCTATAGGCGAAGTATTTCGCTAGTTCATACGATTCCCCGAGATGACTAACAACAAGGCCGAGTATGAAGCTGCGATTGCAGGTTTGAAGTTAGCCCTCAAATATGGCGCTCGATGACTCGTCCTCCACTGCGACTCTCAACTCATGGTGAATAAGGTCACTGGGACTTTCCAAATCAAAGAGCATAGGCTACAAAGATACCAGTCAGAAATCCACAAACTACTGCCAGAATTCGACGAATGTCGCCTCGACCACCCAGGGCGCAAAATATCAAAGCAGACGGCCTCGCTAAACTAGCTGCGGCCACCAGAAATATCAACA